ATATTGGTTATTTCCAAGTACCGACATAAAGCTGTTCTAAATATTTGTGTGCAGTTTTTTTKTGTGTGGACTTAGCTTTTCAATTCATTTGAGTAAATACCTTGGAATGGATTGCTAGATCATATGATAACTTTACAAACAACTATCAAAATGTCTTCTAATGTGGCAGTACCAGTTTGCATTCCCACCAGAATCAGAGTTCCTTATGTTCTATATCGTTACCAGTATTTGATATAGTCAATGTTTTGGATTTTGGCTGTTCTAGGTATGTCTGCTTATTTTTTGTAGAGCTGGAAATTATACATTTAAAAAATTGAGGAAATAATTTTTCAAACCTACAATGTTATTTTCCCTTAAAGTAGACTCATTTGTTTTGGGCAGGCAGGCTGTTAGCAGTATAAACTATTAATAAATAATCTAATTATAAGGAATGAGATTATCTGAAGCTCTGCTTTAGTAATTGCAAGGACCCAGTTATTTTCAGATCACCCTTAGTTCAATGACAAATTCTTTCAGGATTCTAACCCAAAACACAAGTGGATTTACCTGATCTTCTGCTTTGTGGCTGTTTCTGAACTCCAATTTTTGTTTCCCAAGCCCTATGAAGTTGTCAAAGCTTTGCTCAGCTTCTAGTTGTCTCTTCTGGAACTGACAATTTACCCTAAAGGAAAAGCAACTACAAATGCCATGCTCACTTCTCTAGGTCCCTTACTGCTAGGGATCTTGGCCTCCTAATCTTTCATGGACTTGTTAGCTCTGTGAGACYTTCATAGAGATATTTTTAAAAATACTCTCTCAAATTCTCCTTATTGTCATGGGGTTCATTTGAGCTGCTATAACAAAATGCCTTAGAACTTAGGTAGTTTATAAATAATAGAAATTGATTTTTCTAAGTTCCAAAGGTTGGGAAGTCTAAGATCAAGGTGATTCATCACAAGATGGTGCCTTCTCACTCAGTCCTCACATGGTAAAAGGGCAAGACAGTGTTACATACACTCATTAGGGCTCTGTCCTTGTCCTTGTTGATCTAACCACCCCTAAAGATCCATACCTCCTATTACCATCAACTTGAGGGTTAGAATTTCATCAGATGAATAGGGATGGTGGGGTGGGGTTCACAAATATTCAAACCACAGCACATGGAGAAAGCTGATCTACATATTTCCTAGTCTGTCATTTCCAAAAGCATATGCTTTTCTTAGGTATTTTAAAATTTGTTTTAACTAGCTATACATGACAGTAGAATGCATTTATGTACTTTGAAATGTCATTCATAGTGAGATATAATTTCTCACTTTTCTGAGTGTACATGTATAATCATATTGATCAGGCAGTCACATATATATGTAAAGTAAAAATGCCTGTTTCATTCTGCTATCTTTCCTATCCCCACATCCCCTTCTCTCCCCTCTCTTCACTTCCCTCTACCTAAAGTAATGCTATTCTTCCCTAGTTCCCCCTGCCTAATTGTGAATTAGCATCTACATGTTAGAGAAAACATTCAGCCTTTGGTTTTTTGAGATTGGCTTATTTCACTTAGCATGATATTCTCTAACTCCATTCATTTACTGGCATAAATAATTTCATTCTTCTTTAAAGCTGAGTAATATTCCATTGAATATATACAGCACATTTTCTTTATCCATTCATCTATTGAAGAACACCTAGGTTGGTTGGTTCCATAGTCTAGCTATTGTGAATTGAGCTGCTATAAACATTGACAGAGCTTCATTACTATAGTATGCTGATTTTAAGTCCTTGGGGTATAAACTGAGAGTGAGATAGCTGAGTCAAATGGTGGTTCCATTCCCAATTTTCTGAGGTATCTCCATACTGCTTTCCATAGTGGTTGCACCAATTTGCAGTCCCACCAGCAATGTGTTAGTGTACCTTTTTCACCACATCCTCACCAACATTTATTGTTGCCTGTCTTCTTGATGATTGCCATTCTGACACGAGTAAGATGAAATTTTAGCATAGTTTTGATTTGCATTTCTCTAATTGCTAGAGATGCTCAATATTTTTTCATATATTTGTTGATCAATTGTATTTCTTCTTCTGTGAAGTATCTGTTCAATTCTTTAGCCCATTTATTGATTAATTGGTTACTATTATTTTTTTTTTGGTGTAAAGTTTTTGGAGTTCTTTTTATATCCTAGAGATTAATGCTTTATTGGAGGTGGATGTGGTAAAAATGTTCTCCCAATTTGTAGGCTGTATCCTCACATTATTGATTGTTTCTTTTGCTGAGAAAAAGCTTTTTAATTTGAATCCATCCCATTTACTAATTCTTGATTTTACTTCTTGAGCTTTAGTAGTCTTGTTAAAATAGTCAGATCCTAGGTCAACATGGTGAAGATTTGGGCCTATTTTTCTTCTATTAGGCACAGGGTCTCTGTTCTAGTGCCTAAGTCTTTGATCCACTTTGAGTTGATTTTTGTGCAAGGTGAGAGATAGAGGTTTAATTTCATTTTAATACATATGGATTTCCAGTTTTTCCAGCATCATTTTAGGCTATCTTTTCTCTAGTGAATATTTTTGGCACCTTTGTCTAGTATGACATAACCATATTTATATGGGTTTGTCTCTGTGTCCTCTATTCTGTACCATTGGTCTATATGTCTATTTTTGTGCCAATACCATGCCATTTTTGTTACTATAAATAGCAGGGGTTTTTTAAAAGTTTTTTTAAAGATGTTGATGGACCTTTATTTTATTCATTTATTTATATGTGGTGCTGAGAACTGAACCCAGTGCCTCACACATGCTAGACAAGCACTCTACCACCAAGCCACAACCCCAGCCTAATAGCAGATATTTTAAAGGTAGAAATGCTTATAATCTCATTACTGCATGATCACATAAATACACAATCTTAAATCTAATTGTATTTCTTCAGTTGATTATTTACACTGTAGTTGAATAAATAATTTTACTTGCCATCAAATCTTAATCAAGTATATATACATTGAAAATACACATCAAACAGGTACATTTAATCAGGCCCTATAGTAACTATAGGTAATATACAAAGATAGAGATTTCTGTAAGAAATTCTAGTCTTTAAGTACAAAACCATGACAGAAGCCATTCTAGAGAAGCTAAGACCAGGACTGGGCTTTATTATTCTATAAAAATATACGGATGTGAATTTACTCAAATGCTGAGGAATGGTGACTAAAAAGCATTGGTGTAAGATTAATATGGCATCATATTATCAGCTTATAGTACAGACTCTGAAATTTGCCTCCTGAGACAAATCTGGAGATGAACTTCCAAAAGCCAGGTTCCTAGACTACTGTTAGTAATCTTTTCATTCACCATTATAAAAGCAAACTATTTACTAATCACTATCTGCCAGGAATTAAGCTCAAATACAATAAAAACAAAAACTCAACATATATTGACTGAAAGAGCCAATGACTACCTTAAAACTTTACCATTATAATAATTTTGTTTTTGTAGACATCCTTATTACCTTGATCTGAATCTAATTCTTCCTCAAACTTGCATGAAAAACTTTGACCTGGGCAAAATGCAGTTCATCCTACATGCCTGCACCCATGAAGCTAAACTTAAGTAGCATACACAGAACTGTGCTGACTAGTCTCACCTTCAATGAACAATCACTAATTTCAAATGTATCCCAGTGCCCCATGGCAATCCTATTAAATTTCCTTAATCTGATCAGTGTCTGATCTCTTTTAACACTGGATATCACTTTTGCTCCAAAAGAAGTTAATCAATGTCTAGGCTTCATTAMGCAAGGAAGCGTAAGTAGAATTTCTGAGACTGTCACAAGTCATTAAAAAAAATATTGAAATCCTAACACCCACATGCTTTTCAGTACTTACATGGACAAAAGGCAATAAAAGTGGCATAAAGGATACAAAACATTGGGATTCTTGTAAAATAAAAAATGTTTTTCTAATCTCAATGTTTTACTACTTTTAGCATTATGGAAGGAGAAAATATCAGTAGCTGGGACACTGAAGTAGTGACTACTTTTATCCCTCCAACTGTCGATCACATTTGACATTTACCCCAATAACAAAATGATTGCTAGGAACAGTGTCCTGGACTTCCAAATCGGAATATAATGATCTAGTTATTTCCTCTTATTCAAATCTGAACAATTAACTTTTCCAAAAAACACAGCTATTATGATACTAGTACACCTAGGATTATCTTTCTCTCATCTCAGTTATTCTCCTCCTCATAACCCACATTTATAAAAAGAGAACTTATTAATTGGAAACATATCAAACACACACATGTACATCCACTACCCTGTCCCTCCTCACAGCCAGACTCTGTTAAAAACAACTGCTAAATCACTGCCAATGAGTCACTGTTACTGATGGAAACTGCTACATTCCTTGGGTTTACCGAAGTAGAAAAACGTTATAAACCACTGACTTATATGAAAATATCTGGCTACATGATTTTCAGGATACCCTAGACTATTTCCAAAAAAGAAAGCCTTTTAGTTTCTAGAGAAAAGTATGCCTGCAGAGGTAAAATTTTTAAAAGGATCAAAGTGGAAATAGTGTAGCTGTTTCAGAAACTATGAAGAGTCCTAGGCCCTACAACTAGGGCATGAAGATACTTGCCCCTAATTTTTGAGTTGGAAACAAAAAAGGCTTTTAACCACAGAAGCAGTATTATAGATATTAGTTAGGCATAGGTGAAACAAGCCTAATCACATTATAACTTTAAAGGAGAATGAGTTGAATTAAGACTTGTATTGGCCTGGAAGGTTTTATTGATTTAAAAAAATATCATCTCTTTGGGAAAATACCTGTCAGCTCAAACAAAATTCACAAGTAAACCTGCTGGATGGTTTAGATTTTCCCATTTTACCTCTGCAAGGTTGACAGTGAAATGTAATATTTAAATATCAAATTAAACATGTCACTAAAATCTCAGCTTTAATTTTACATTTTATTCTAAAATAGTTGTTTTACTCTATAGAAATCATTTTAATAAGAACCACCTGCCTTTTTCTGAGCAATGGCAGCACGCTGTAGTTTCTCTTTAGCTTGATTATACTTTTCTTCTCTGTCTGTGATACGTGCATGAAGCTTATGCTTTTCTTCCAACCACAGTATTTGTTTTTCTTCCAATGTCCTGTCAGAAAAATAAATGTATGCAAAAACATGAAAGTTAATATAAATGCTTAAGGTCAAATAAGTATTACCTGCCTGATGATATCCCTACTTTTCTAACTACAGGCACTACTATTTATTTGGTCACACATTTGCTAACATTAACATCACAGAGCATTTCTTACAAATCAGTCACTGTACTTCTAATTAAGTACTTGTCATGTCTTTTGTTATATATGAGGAACTAGGTTTACAGTAGGTGATTAACTGATGTAAGAACTCACATCTAATCAATGGCAGGACAAATGCCTGATAACCAGGTCTAAACTACAAAGACCACCAAGTAATAAAAATTGGACCTAATGAAGCTTGTAAAAACCAGCCTAGAGCTGGTCACAGTGGCACACACCTGTAATCTCAGCAGGTTGGGAAGCTGAGACAGGAGGATCCTGGGTTCAAAGCCAGCCTCAGCAATAGCGAGGCACTAAGCAACTCAATGAGACCCTGTCTCTAATAAAATACAAAATCGGCTGGGGATGTGGCTCAGTAGTTGAGTGTCCTGGAGTTCAATCCCCAGTACCAAAAAAAATCAGCCTGGAATCAAGTCTTGGTGTGGTATGTTTTCTGGATATGGTAAAATTCAAACCAATGACAGTTTAAGGTAACATAATTAAAATTTGTACTCCTAAAGCTATTCTTTATCCTTTATATGATTTTTAATATCCTTTTATAAGTAATACAAATAAGAAATAATAAACCATGATAAGTAAGATTACTTGTCTAAGGTCATACAGATTTTAAGTATGCTAGTTGGGACTAAAATTATACTCTATTCATCTGTAGTCCAGTTATTTTCTTCTACAACTATCCKATCTATGAATAACACCCAGAAAACAACAACAAATTACTTAAATTTGCTAGTTATGCTTGTCATTAGGGTTCTTAAGCTCATTACAAACACTTGAGAATTTCAAGACACCAATTTCTATTTTTTTTTGGAAAATAAAAGAAAAATAAGACCCTCAGGAATGTTATAACACATATGGACATGCACCTTTCTTACTTCCTTTTCCTGAAATTCAACCTGATATATGAAACCTTGGATGAGCCTTAAAATATGAAAGAACAGAAAAACTGAAGGAAAATAGAAGCTTTACTTGGTAAGACTGACTTTAGAAGAACAAATTTGAAAAAAAAATGTTTTATAGATAGAAATAAACATCTATAATAACATGTTTTTGTTATAAAGACAAAGCAAGTACTATAATATTTTATCCTACCGACCTACCTACTTACTCATTACTTTCATGGGGATCAAACCTAGGGACTTGTGATGCTGGGTATGTGCTCTACCACTGAGTCACATTCCCCAGGTCTATTCTACCACATATTAAAATGTTCCAGAGAACATAAAGTCTTGAATTCAACCAAAATAAATTTCCCCTGTCTACTACATTACTATTAACAAATTTCAAGGTCAAAAAATATAAACAAATAAATTAGCTTTTCAGAGGGAAAATCCAAAACTAGTTCTAATACTAAGAAGTTTTGAGAACACACAAAAATAGCAACCCCACAATCAACTCATCTGTTCTTTGGTTATTTGAGAAAACTGTTTTGGTTTGCTCAAAAAATAAGAGGATCATTTCTTTCAAGAGTTTTCAGAATACTGTGCTCAGGAGGGATTTTAAAATTTTCTTCTAAATAATTAAAAAATCTACAAAGCTCAATTTACAGAGTATGTTACCTAAGACAAATGTATACTACCAAAAGGTACTTATAACTAAATATAAACACATTCAACATTGGAATTAATTATCACTGAAATAACTATGCATTATATGCCAAAAAGAAAAAAATAGTTTGTACAAAAAAAAAAAAAAAAAAGAGCAAACTCTACTTTTCAGCTTCTACTTGCACTTTTTCAGCTTGGCTTCTTAAATTTCGGCATTCTTGTTTTAATCTCTCCACCATTTCCTTCAGCATTYGGTTTGAATTCAGCAAGTCATTCTCTGACTGTGCCAGTGAGGTCACCTGGATCTGCAAGCTACTGATTTGCTTAAAAGAAAACAAAAAAGTGAAACATATGGCCACTAAGCAAATGCAGTACGGTCTGAAAAGTGGAGGATACTAAGCATTTCACCATCACAAATGTCCCACCCAGCTGGTATGCCGTCAAAGATGCCCCTTAAATGAAATAATAAATAGCAGCAGTTAGGATAATTTCTTACTATAATTAGAGGACTAGCACTAACCATATATTCCCTAGTCACTGAGTTCCTCATTTTGTTCCCACAATAAACAAAGCACAAGTGGGAAGAAGGGTTAGCAAGAAGAACAAGGAAAAAAGAGAATGTAAAGTCTCCTTTGACTCTAGTTTTCCCTAGCTTTCTAGGAAAAGAACTAACTTTAAAAACAAGTCAACTGGGCTGGGATTGTGGCTCATCAGTAGAGCGCTCGCCTCGCAGGGGCTGGACCTGGGTTCAATCCTCAGCACCACATAAAAATAAAGGCATTAAAGGCATTGTGTTGTGTCCATCTATACCTAAAAAATAAAAATTTAAAAAAAAAAAAAAAAAAAAAAAACAAGTCAACTGGGAAAGTAGTTGTTCCCCCTTCCCACATACTACCCTTATAGGAGGCTTGCTCTCTGAGCAGTCAAGAATTGTTGAGTAAACATAGGAAGGGTTGTTCTCACCTTGTTTTAAAATGATTTCCAATTATTCTACATGCCCAGTGTAAAGCAGAAGGAAGATCTGAGAAATCTAATGAATGGTTAGGGATTCCTTGGCCTCTAGAGCCACATTTCAAATCATATAATGTCACCCAAGGCCTTTATTCCATCCTAATTTACCTTCACCTGGGAATATTTTTTCCTCAAGAAAAGTGGATAATGACATAATGAACAGGCTAGAAAAACTCAAATTGCTTCTAAGTTATATTTAATAGTTTTCACTTGGGATAGTTATATCTATCCACATGCCATTTTGCCAATAAAATAAAGAAATTCTCATCTTTCTTTTTTTTCCCCCCATTTACCTCTTTTAGCCATTCTCTGAGATACTTTAGAGAAAATAATCAAGAGACAGGGATCAAAAGAACCCATCCTGAGATTCAAGAGTTAAAAGAAATAAGATTATTTTTATGCAACAAATTAAATGGGTAACAATCCTATTACTTTCCAATGGCAGCAAAGTCAAGTAAGATAGGATTATGTATGTCCATAGAGCAATTTGTTAGCAGAATAAAGTAAAATGGTATGTCTCAGATTATATTCTGGAATGAATACCTTCATGTGGAACTTTTTACTTTTTTAACAGGAGTGGCAAACATTAAATCTATGTCATAGTTACATGAATAAGCAAACTTCAAAGAACTTAATACCTCCATATATTGTAGGATGACAGAAACCCCAATGCCAAGGATACTATATAACTTCTCTCTTGGAGAATCAAACGTTATGCCCTCCTAGTTAAGGCTCAGAAGCTGTAACTGCACATGCAAAGCAGTACCAGATAATAGGCAAGATAAATCTTAAAAGTAGAATACTCACTATTTCATAATCAGTAGGAAAAAAATTTTTTTAACAAAAAATAAAATGGAATTTGRAAGAGAATACTCTCCCATATTTTGCCCAWCCATATGTAATCTTTTTCCTGAACCCAAATAAATTTAATTAAAATACACATTTCTTTCCATATAAATACGACTTATATTTCATAGGGAAATAGCAAGAAGTACTTAATGGATTAAAAAAGTTACAAACCAATTATTCAATTAACTTAAAAATGAATAATCTTTCTAAGCAATTTTTAAAATTCCAGATATCAAAATAATGTCTTCTTGATTTTTAAAAGAATTGTTATGAGCTACAGCACGAAAATATATAAAAAAAAAACAGCAGTCAGAAAATAAGCTTACTCAATTACAACAGAGAAGCTGAAACACTTTATCTTTATACATCAACATCAATGTTATGGACTGTGCTAATTAGATTATCATAAATGTGATATGCAAAATTCCAATAATTATGCAAAACAACAACTTAAAGAAGCACCTAAAAAAAAAAAAAGCAAGCAAGGCATGGAGTAGGGGTGGGGCACACTCCTGTAATCCCAGAGACTTGCAGGAGAACTACAAATTTGAGGGAAGTCTTAGCAACTTAGTGAGATCCTCAACAAATTAGTGATGCCTTGTCTCAAAGTAAAAAATAAAAAGAATTAGGGATGTAACTCAGTGGTAAGAGCACCCTTGGATTTAATTTCTAGTACCATAACAAAATAAATCAATAAATAAAAGCAAAATAAAAATCATACCTGTTTCAGATCAGAATTTTCACTTTTTTCTTTCTCTGCAGTTTCAATATTCACAATTTGTTGTTGAAGTTTTAACCTAAAAACCACAACCCATCAAAAGATATTACACATCCACACACAGTTTATTATTTCACTGAATTAGACAATAAATTATATCAAATGCCTGTTTGATACCAGGTATTATGTTATGCAAAGTGGTAGATCTAAAGCCAGGGAGGTAGCACACACCTATAATCCCAGCAGTTAAGAGGCTGAGGCAAGAGGCTCTTGAGTTCAAAGCCAGCCTCAGCAATTTATTGAGGCCCTGAGCAATTCAGCGAGACCCTGTCCCTAATTAAAATATATATATTTTAAAAAGGATGGGAATGTAGCTCAGTGGTTAAGCACCCCTGGATTCAATCCCTGATACCAAAAAATAAAAAATAAAAAACAAAAGTAATAGATTCAATCATAGATTCCAGGCAGCTAGGAAGTGTTTACACATTACTAAAATTTAAACACAGACTACTTTTTTTGCAGTGGAAAACTATAAGTATAGCAAGGATGAGATATCAAGTTTGTCCAAAGGTACCAGGGAATACTACAGGGAGACAAAATCTGATTAGTAAGATTTTAATAAACATAGAGAACAGCCTGAACAACTGGCYTTCAGTGGAAAAGTGTAGAATGTGTTGTCAAGTCATCAGAAAAAAGTAGTTCAGTTTAGGAAAAGCTACCTCAGATCCATACAACTTAAAAGTTCTATAATTTATCAATGCTATCAGAAACACTGGTACTTTATTCCAGGGCTAACAGATTTAAAAGAAAATTATCTAATGAAGATCAYCATACTGAATTCTATAAAATATCTAATGAGTTTTTTATCCAAAACAAATGGACATTTGAAGAGGACCAATRCTGCATTCTCTTCTAAACAAGTGATACATACTCAATCATAACCTTCTGGTGACCAAATGACCAATGTTGTAGAGAAAACTTTATGCTAATTAGGTTTGGTAGGCTGGGCCCCTCAACCTTCTCCTTTTAAAAATTCCTTTCAAATATAATTCATTTGGCCGTAGTCATTTATAACTTGACTTTAGCAGCACATCTGATCTGCCCAATCAGAATTGGGACCATAATACTCTTTAGAGTCTACTGGTAGCTGGGCACAATGGCACACACCTATAATCCTAGTGGCTCTGGAGGGTGAGGACCTAAGAAACTTAATGAGACCCTGTCTCAAAATTTAAATATAAATWAATTAATTAATTAATAAATAAGAAGGGCTTGGGATGTGGTTCAGTGGTTAAGCACCCCTGGATTTAATTCCTGATACAAAAAAGAAAAAAGAAAAAAGCCTAGGGCTATGCATTGAATACAGTATGATTTCAATATCTGCTGAAAGTCTAAATGAATCAACTCAAATCCTGAATTAGTAAGACAGATAGAACATGAAAGAATCTTGAAAATATGACCAACTACTTTTGATATATTTATATGTAAATGCCCAAAACAAGAAGTCTAAAGAGATGGTTAGTCCTGCTCTTCCTCTTGTTCCTTTTTTTTTAAGAGAGAGAGAGAGAGAGAGAATTTTTTTTAATATTTATTTTTTAATTTTCGGCGGACACAACATCTTTGTTTGTATGTGGTGCTGAGGATCGAACCTGGGCCGCACGCATGCCAGGCGAGCACGCTACCGCTTGAGCCACATCCCCAGCCCCTCTTGTTCCTTTGTCAGTACCAATAACCTTCTTATTTCATAATTCTAGCTATGCTATTGTTCTCAAACTTTGGGGGCATTTCCTCCATTAAATATTCCTGAATGTTATTAACAAAGTGTTTTAAGGTTACTGAGTTTATAAGAGTTATTTTCTACAAAATCATGATGAAAACAGAAGACAGAAGACTGTTAAGTCCAGGTCAAGAATTTGGATATATCTGATCAATCAACAAGAAATAAAACTCAGGTAAGGGAACAGTTAGGGCTGTTTAAAAGAGATGCAATTATAACCAGACCTTGAAAGCAAAGTAACAGTCTTCAAATGGAGAAATTAAAGATAAAATAAAGATGAAGAGGAGTAAATGATAGAGCAAGACCTCAAAGAAAACAATGGAAATGGATTAATGAAATGGCTCACTTGGAAGTAAAGTGGAAAGAATATTTTTAGTATAATGGAAAGGGAAGTGAGAATAAAAAGAGATAAAGATATTGAAATTCTAAGGTAGCAAGAAGGTGAAAGAATTCATATCTAATAGCCTTTGCTTATATACAAATGGGAACACAATTGAGCTGCAGTTTCTAAACTAAAAGGAGGCAAGAGAGCCAGATTAATAAAGTGAATGGAAAAAAAAAAGCATGAGAACTACCTGTTTCAGTATCTTCAGAGAGAATAAACTGGGAAAGAGAAAGATATTTATGCCTTTGAAGTAAATGGTTCTAGTAGATAAACAAACATAAAATAGAGTAAACTTAAAGAATGCTAGCATGAAGCTATGATAAACTGTAAGTCTAAGGGTTGAATAGCCCAACAAAACAAATGTGCAGACACTAAGAAAGATGGCAAGATAGAGAAAAGTTGAGACAGATAGCAAAGACCTCAGAGATTATTGAGGAATATCCAGTAGATCAGTAAACGGCAAAGAAAAAAGACAGGGACAACCTAGAAGCAACAAATATCAAAAGAAAAACATTTTAACCATGGTTAGTCAAATAATCATCTGAAAGCAAGAGTAAGGTTTATAAATGCTGATGTCCCTTGTAGTTCTTTGTTGCACAAAGAAAAATAATTTCTACTTAAAAGGGATTCTGGGTTACATGCCATTAGGAAAAAATCAGATTCAGTGAGGTTTCATTAAAAAAAAAAAGTTGAATCACAAAACATTTCTTGATAGCACAATAAGGATTCTGAAGGCTACAACAGAGGCTGCTATTAAAGGAGAGCTTCTACTTAGGAAGTGGTGGGGAGAAATCAGAAAATAAAGGATGAGTAGTTTGGGGAGTAAGAAATGATAAGGTATGTACACTGTACTTTAAAAATAATTATGGAAAAGAAATAGGAGGTAGAATGGAGGGCCAAATTAAAAGAGAATAAAACTATGGGAGATTTTACCTAGAAACTTTGGAATAGGATGGAACTATTTCAAGCTCCTTCAAAGTATAGTCAACTGTGATAATCCTGGCATGCAGCTGATAGTGCTTTTTCACCATTCAACAGATATTTAATGAGAGCCTATGAAAGCTGAGCCCAGTTCTAAGTGTTACAGATTCATTGGTAAATAACAAAGATAGAATCCCTACCCTTAACAGTCCAACAATGCTGTCTGATAAAGCTTTCTGCAATGGTGGAAATGTTCTATAATCTGCACTTTTCAATATGACACTAACTACGTATTGCTAAAGTACATTTTAAATGTAGCTAGCATGACTAAGGAAGTTAATTTTTAATCTCTTAAAATTTTAATTAACTTAAATTTAAATAATTATATGTGCCTAGCAATCACCATCTATCCTAGCTGACGACCTAATGCTGGGTTCACAAAAATCTGACTATTCCAATAACTTAAGAAAACGACAAAGAAAGCACGTAAACAAACAGAAGTACCTTTTCAAAATCCAAGACAGCTCTCTGACCTTAAGGGTCCATGGAAAGAGAGCTAGCCACTGGAATTCTTTATTCTTATATGGGGGACACACAAGGGGAGGTTCCATGGAACATTCTATCCCAAAAAAAGGCAAAGGGGTAGGATTACAAAGGAACAGGTGAGAGTATCTCAACCCCAGCAGGTGACTCCTACTCCTGGAGCCATGCCTTGTTATCCGAGCTGGGGTAACACCCAAGTTACTACAACCTGGCACTACCATGCCAGACTGAGGACAATAATTGTTCAGAACCTGATGCATCAGGGCTTAAATAGGCGCCTGCATCCAGGGCAGCTCCCAATATCCTATTGAGCAGTGAAGGCTCTAGTGTAACCTCTTGCCTTTATTTGATGCTAGTCTCCATTATCAAGGGGAAACAACACAATATGGCAAGGGAGAGAAGTCATATTTGTAATAATCTATTGTCACAGATTCCTAGATCAAGTCTCTTAAGAATGGCAGTTGCCTTCTTCTAACAATCTTCTGAAAATAAGTTTCCTGCTTGTAAGCACTGGAAACTGGCTATTATTTACCCAAAAAAAAAAAAAAAAAAAGAGAGAGAGAGACTGTCTTAGAAGAACAGGAGCCCACTGAATCAAAACAAGAGTACCATAAGCAGCATACAGTAATGGATAGGAATCACTGGCACATATGTGCAACAAGAATCACCTGGTCCTTCATATGCTATCACATATCTACTTCTATCACTTATTTTATAGTTCAAATTTTAGGAGAAAACTTGTCTAGATGGCCAACTGTAAGTCTCCTGCTCCCTATTTAAATGACATACAACAAAATCCTCACCAAGATAGTGTAGAAATAGGAGGACATATTAAATGATTTTTTTAAAGAAAGGGGGCAAATAAATATCCACTATAGGCAGAAAAAAATTCAAACTGATGAAATAAAAATGTTTAAAAAATTCTTAAGAAAAATTAGAATGCCTCAAATGAAATAGTGTGTGCTGGCTTTAAGCCATACAAAAGGTAAATTAAGAGGCATTTTCTACAGGATTTTTTAAATGATCAAGTTCTCTTTCCCTTGGATGATTATTGCTATTATTTCCCCTAAACACCTCCTCTCTACTTCTGATATCAAACTGCATATCACCTACGGCCTCCTCCCCACCACCACAAACAGGCATATAATCTGGCTGAGCCAGGGTGCCTGATTTCCTTTGTCACAGTGATAGGTTACTTGAGTTGATTAAGTGTTATGGTTTGGGTCTGGAATGCCCTCCAAAAGACTCCTGTGTTGGAAGCATGGTCCCCAATACAACAAGTGTCAAATGGGATGGAGACTGCTGATTAGGTCAGAGCCCTCAAGATCCAATCTCCATCAGGTATCACTGATAGCTGGATGTACTATTGGGAAGTGGGTCCTAGTTAGAGGAAGTGGGTCCTAGTTAGAGAAAGTAGGTCCAAGTAGGTTTATCTTCTCCCAGGCCTCTTAGATGTTATCTCTCTTCCCTTTCCAGCTGCCATGAACTGACCAGCTTTCCTCCCCTATGCCTTTCAGCCATGATCTTTTTCCTCACATCCAGTGGAGTTAGACCATGGACTACAACCATGAACCAAAATAAAATTACCATCCTCTAAGTTGTTTCTGTCGGGTATTTTGGTCACAACAAAGCAAAGCTAACAAAGCAAGTAATAATGTGTTCTTTGGTCTCAATATACTGTCTTAGCTTCACAAAGGAAATAGTAGGAAAAAAGCACACATCAGAGACAGACAAATAGAAGAAAGGAGGAGAAGGAAGAAGAATGGAAGAAGGCACTCTGGTCACATTTGAGTTCCAGATCCAAGTGTCCAAAAGAACAGCACAATTCCTGTCCTTTCTACAATCTATGTCAGCCAATAAAGTCCCTTTATTGGCTTACATTAGTTGGAGTAGGATTGCTACCATTACCAAAATTTGACTTCATACTTTGTTAATATTTAAATTGTTATAATTTTCGAATTGTTAATTTATAGGTAAATTTACAAACTTAACAAAATGAAAAAAAAAGTACAGTGAAGCATCCTTATGAAATACAAAATATTTTTGTAAAAATAAATTTATTATTTTTATAATAAATTGTTATAATAGGCTAATGGTGAAGAAACCACTTAGGTAAACAAAAGACTAGTATATAACTAATATGTTAATCATTGCTTTAGAATATCTACTTATCATAGATATCGTTAATTATGAGTAAAAGGATACCCCTGCTTCATATTATTTATACTTTTCATTTCCTTAGCAAGATTTTTGGTTCACAATCTCTGACCAATCAGACTCCAAGTGATACAATTATGATTAATACTTTGGCACTAGAAATTGAACCCAGGTGTGCTTTTCCACTGAGCCACACCCCCAGTCCTTTTTATTTTTAGACAGGGTCTTGCTAAGTAGATGAGGTCTTGCTAAATTTCTGAGGCTAGCCTTAAACCTGCAATCCTCCTGCCTCCCCCTCCAAATTGCTGGGATTACAGATGTGCACCACCATGCCCAGCTATTATGATTATTTTAATGAATGATTTATAAATAATCAAATCAGAACTACTATGGAAGAAACACCATGATTGTAGAATTTTTTAATTTTTAAACTCAGGCAAATCTTGTAAATTACTACTGCTAGATTTTATATTGGTTACTATGTCCTTATGTTGGGGATCATTTACATATTATATGTATAAATGATCTGTAGAAAATGAAGAGGAATCAAAGATAAATTATCAAAGTGACTAATAGAAAATACCATATTAAAGAAAAGTTAAGGAATGAAAGCTGTTTTACATATACATATATTTTGGCCAAGGGGCAATACTGGGGATCGAACCCAAGGTCTCGAACATGTTAGGCAAGYACTTTGTCACTTAGCTATATATCTCCAGGCCTTTGTTTATTTTAAACTGTCTCCCTAAATTTTCCAGTTGGCATCAAACTTGCAATTCTCCTATGTCAGTTTCTCAAGTGGTTATGATTATAGTTGTTCACTACCACACCCAGCTACATTTTTAAAAGCCCAAAAAACAAAAGAATAAAGTCCACTATTGTTTTCAAGCAATGACAAAATGCTGAACATTATATCACTATAGCAACAGAAATGCAAAGCAGAAGAAACAGAAATGATTCTAAATGGCCAAACTGTGCAACCATGATGAGGTAAAATATTAGAGTGGGGTTCTTGGGGAGGGTGGAAATTTAAAAACAATCTGTCCTGAATAGTTAAATAATATACCTACCTAAAAGTGAAGGGGTAGGCAAGATTAACTCTCAAATCCATTACAGATTTATGATTCTAGAATGGAAGCCAACAATGATTCGCATTAAACCCAACATAAGTAATAGATACACCACTGCCTGAATCGGTTTTTTCTTAAGTAATGTGGATCAAGAAATTTGCCTCAAAATAGAACCAAAAACTTAATAAGTATGATTTTTAAAAATCACTTAATAGGGACAATGGCCAGCATCTCATTGGGGAGTTCTTCCTGCCAGGGAGAATGGAAGCCACCTTAAAACTTAAGTCCCAAATAATTAGCGAATAACAAAACACAAATATTCAAAAATATATTTACAAATGTGAAGCCTCTGATAGATCTAATCCATATGGTCTCTGTAACTAAACAAAGAAAATATGGCTCTGGTGGTTTATTTAAGGGGGGTACAGGAAAGGCAGGAATAAGGTTTCAAGGGCAGAGTCTTGCAGGTTGATTGTCATCTTCTCAGGTCACACTCAAGTGCTGGGTGGGATCTTTGGCAGAGCTTGAGAGGGAAGTTCACTTGCATCAGGTGGTCAATCCCTGTGGTGGGTGTCACGGGAAGTTCCCAATTCCAGACTTATCCCCTTTTGAGGCTACTATGCACAACACAGTCCGTACACAGCCCATGGATGGCTCATGACAGTTACTCAACTTTAATTTATATAATTAGCAAAGTCATTAAGATTTTAGAATTAAAAGATAAAGGGAAGGTACTAAAAATAAGGACAGATGCTCTAGCTCTATTATCCATTTATTTTACAAAAATAATTCAGAAAAGATAGGAAAACAAATAAAGTCATATAGAACCACCCCTTAGCATAAATGGAAGACAGAAAATGCCCAAATTTCAAAAYAACTATATAAGTAAAAAGGCAGGGGGGTGTAAGGGATACCAAAACCCAGCAAGGGTTCACTGCATATGAATGGTCTTAACTCACCCATTAAAATAAAAAAAAAAAAAAATCTCCCATTTGGCTCACAAAGCAAGACCAGACTATATGCTATATAGAAAATACATATTTAAAAAACAAAATGATTCAGAAAATTTAGAAACAGAGGACAAAGTTATATCAAGYAAATGGAAATAATAACAGTTGGTTCCTGTTATTAAAATGATTTGAACTTAGAATTTTTCAAATTCACAATGGTGTAAAAGCTATATGCAATCTGTAGAACCTGTACTTTAAATTTTGAATTTTGATCTTTTCCCAGCCTAGCAATATATAATGAAAGATACTTTCTCACAATGTTTGCTCAGGGGCAGCAAGCTATAGGTCCTAGTTTGCCATGGGATCACAAGGGTAAACAAACTAATACTCTGCAATGTATGGTTATTAGGTATATATATTTTTAGATATTTATTTTTTAGTTGTAGGTGGGCACAATATCTTCATTTAATTTTTATGTGGTGCTGAAGATCAAACCCAGTGCCTCACGTGTGCTAGGTGAACACTCTACTACTAAGCCACAACCCCAGCCCTGTTATTAGGTATATTAAAGACATTTTCAACTTATCTGTCAGGATGTAATATAACCTACTGTACTCTTTCTTTCCATATGCTATGTTACACTCATAAAAATTGATCATATACTACAGCAATAAGGCTAGAGTAAGGCAAGTGAAATGCTCAGAGTATGAAATTTGAGATACTCACTCTGAGACTGTTAACAGAATCCTGTACCAGAGGCTTGACTCTAGTAATACCAGCAAATGAGATCCAGCCACTTGCACCAAAACCACACTGAAAGAGCAATGGCAAGTGCAAGAAAGGAGCTTTAATCATTATAGCTATACCAGGAAGAYAAGGAGACCTACTTCCTTACCTCTGTCTATGGTGTTACTGACATGAGCTTCCAATTATACAGACAAGGGGGTCCAGATATAGGAACAGTCAAACAGTCTTCATCAAACTGTGGTTAATCATTATCTCAGGACTCAGAAAAGGGGACCCTGCTCATAATAGATAAGAAAGCTGCTATTGCCCCAAGGGATAGTTTATACTCATACAAGATGTTTATGTATTAGACATGTTGTTCCTGGAATCCAAGGTGACTCAGAGCAAAACAGATAAATGCAAAATGGAGGCAGAAGTGTCAAGTTTTTTATCCTGCTTTTAATAACCCACCAAACACTGGAAGGTCCAAGTGGAAAATGTAAGTCCTTGTTACCTGGATCCTATAAGTGTAACACTGGAACACGAAAGTGAATGACTCCTTAAATTTTACATCCTGGGCTATTCATTTTGTCTTATCCTAGTTGTGGTCTCGATATATTATACCATAAAGAAAACATTAATATCTGCTAAATTGTGATTTTCCTATTTATTTTCATCATTCTTTCTACATTTATTAGTTGGAATTTGAAAGGAAGAGCTTCTCCCTTCTCCTCTATACTAGTATGGACTAACAGATTCTTATTTTCCTCTATGGGTTATATAATTGGCAATTGGAGACTTTTTTCAAGTTGAATTCTATGTCCTTTTGATATAATCCCATCTTTTGAGGTTCTCCTTATTGTCTGATATCACAGGATATTCTAGGTTTCCCTTTCACTTTCTTTTCTCTAGCCCTATTACTAGCCATTTCTCTAAGGCTATTTTTATATTGGAGGCTGGCATAGGAAAATGAAATCTCAGCTAATCTAATAAGAGTGCTTGTTGGTACTAGAGAAACTTTGCTTCTAGGCCCTTTCAGTGAACTGAGTGATGAGATTTATTTATGTATGCCCAAGTCACATTACATCCATTTCTTTATTTTTMTATGTGTATATATATTTATAATCATGAATTTACATTGATATTTCCAATTCTACCCCAACACCATGGAGTTTATTCTAGACTGTCTCTCTTCATATTTGTAACTTCTTTAGCAGATACTAAAGTAATGTTAGGATGCTAAAATTAATAATGTTTGATGAGAAAGTACAATGAGAATATTTAAATAGTCTCAAAAAATTATATGAGAAATCTTATGATTATATATTACAGAGGGGAAAAACACTAATTATATCGAAGAAAAATCTGACAGACACTATGATAACTACATGGTCAAGGTGAACATAATCAGTAAAGAAGACAAATCAAAAACTTCCTTATACGTGCACTGAGGATACATGACTTTGGTGCAATTTTGATTTAAAATACATAACCTGAATTTATTCATAAACAATGTATTACAAGGGGTTGGGGGTATAGCTCAGTAGTAGAGTGCTTGCCTCACACATGTGAGGCACTGAGTTCAATCCTCAGCACCACATAAAAATAGATAGATAGATAGATAGATAAAGTTATTCTGTCCATCTACAACTAAAAACAATTAAAGGTGTATCACAAACCCAAATTGAGAGACAATATGTAAATACTAACAAGCACTCTACTAAAGTGTTCCAGATTAAAGGAAATTACATAAAGGCAATGTATGGAATTGATTCTGAACCAGATAAAAGACACAAAGAAACAACTGGTAAAATTTAAATAAAGCCAACATTTTTGATAATACTAACATTTGATTTCTGGATTATATTGTTAATTTGTTTTGACCCCTGTATCATGGTTATATAAGATGTTAATACTTGGGGAATCAAGGTGAGGTGTGCATGGGAAATCTCTGGGCCATTTTTACCACATTTTGTTATCTCTGAAACTATTTCAAAATTAAAAATTAAAAATATACATGTATACATAACCTGATACTCTGAAGTTCCCTTCTGGCCGATTCTTCTGCCATCTGTGATGCCCGCAATTTCTCTTCACACTGATCCTTTTCAGATTGCCTCCAGACGTCATGTTCCAATTTCATTTTCTCCAAATCTGCTAATCTGTTCTCAAGTTCTAGCCTAAAACAACAGATGATAATTATGTTACAAGAACTACAATAAAGATGATGCTACAGTAAAATGTTTCCATGTGCAAGAAGATTTAATACAAACTAAGGTAATTAAGCACTTACTTTTCACCTTGTAATACTACAAGTTTTTGATAACCTTCTTCCTTGGCAGTTTGTACTTTACGTATTAATTCACGATCCTTTTCTACTAATAGCACTTTGTGGTATTCAACAGCTGATTTGAGGATTTCATTGTCTGACTGTAATCCTATTATTTTTCAAAGAGAAAAATATACTATAGTTAATATTGCGATGATGAAAAATCACAATTAACAGCCTTCATAAGTGAGTAAAAGAATTAGAAAGTCTCTCTGGATATACATTCTCAAAGATCCTTAAGCCACTGATAAACTTTCTAAAAATAAGAATGAAACAGACTAAAACTCAGAGTTTATTCTCTGCCATTACTTCTTAACACATGCATACATACAAAAAAAAACTCTCAAAAGGGTAAATAAACATTTATTCTCTTGAATTTTTTTAATATTTATTTTAATATTTTTAATATTTATTTTAATACTTATTTTAGTTCTCGGTGGACACAACATCTTTGTTGGTATGTGGTGCTGAGGATCGAACCTGGGCCGCACGCATGCCAGGCGAGCACRCTACCGCTTGAGCCACATCCCCAGCCCCTCTCTTGAATTTTTAAACCTAGAAATATCATCAACCTGTGTGATATACAGAGACACTTGGTTACTTCACCTCTGAAGGACTTCTGTAAACTAACCCTAAGACAGCATCATAACAAAATGGCTGAAAACAGAGCAAATAAAAGTCACAAAGTCCTTCAAACCTAAGATTACAGCAAAATTGCTASAGTCTAGCAGAAATATAAAAAACAAGGAAAGTTTCAWGTTTGTCCAATGAATTTCAAATCTTCCTCTTGATGAACAGACAATATTTATACATGGAATAACTAAATCAAATTCCTATCTAATTCAAAGTAAAACCAGAATCCCCAAATTTAAATTTCTAAGAAAATTTAGTTTAAATGAGGAAAATTATAAGTCAAAATTACATAGAAACTAATAATGAGAATAGGCATTCAATCTAACCTCCATCTGAAATTACAGACCAACTCAAGCAGAGTTACACCCCAAGGGCAGCTTATTTGAAAAATCTAAGATTAGAAGCCATGGCTGGGGTTGTAACTCAGTCGTAGAGTGCTTGCCTAGCACGTGTGAGGCACTGGGTTCAATTCYCAGCACCACATAAAAATAAATAAATAAAGGTGTTGTGTCCATTTACAACTAAAAAAGAAAAAGAAACAAAATTAGAAGCCATACAAATTCTGAGAAATCCTGATGAGTCATGTGAATATTAGAATGGACCACAAGAACAAGACTACACTGAATTAGGCTTCAATAACTGACCTAGTGTTTAAAAAAAATAAAAAATTAAAAATCCAGGATTAGAACTTTCTTCCTTTTGGTCTTAGACTTATAATGCCCTCGGAAAATAATATGACAAAATAGATTTAAAATTATAAACCCAGGAAAGATAGAATCCCATTTCAAAGTTTTATTTAGTTTATACATTAATCAAATAACTTATACCAACACATGATCAATTTTTTTTTAAAGTCAGGTCAAAGAATGAGCAGTCAACATACATGCAATAACATTCCATATCTTTTAAAGGTTGAAATCCAATTAATCTGAGAATCTGGAAATAATCATTAAGGTTTATCTATATTAACAATTTGAGTTCATGTCGAAAAACTAGTAAAAAGCATGGGGAATCATATATTACCGTCCAATTCACTTTGAATCTTATTCTTTTCTCTTTCTAGCTCACTTTTAGCTCTTGCTGCCTCCAGTTTGATGTCTGTTATTTCTAGTTTGTTTGAATGTTTAAGTTCTTTTACCTGTTGATAATTAGAAATTGAAGTTATTATTGGTCATTTTATTCCCATTTAGTACTCACCAAAAAGCAAGTGTAAATGAAAAAAAAAAAAATTGGCAGCAGATTATAGAGTGCAAGTACCATCCAGGAAGAAAGGTATTCCATACTTGAATACTATTTGTAATGAGGAGACAAGAACACTGTTTTTCCTACTGAAAGTGAGCATTTCTTTAAAAGTATCTGGGTGGGGTCACCTGGACATAAATCAGGACATGTGCCTTAAAAAGTTTAACCACATACATCAAACTTCCTTTTAAAAAGTATTGGAGGACTGGGGTTGTGGCTCAATGGTAGAGCGCTTGCTTAAGCATGTGGGGCACTGGGTTCCATTCTCAGCACTGCAGGTAAATAAAACTACTACTAAAAAAATGTTTTTTTAAAAAAGCATTAAGGAGGGGCTGGGGTTGTGGCTCAGTGGTGGAGCATTCACCTAGCATGTGCAAGGCCCTGGGTTCGATCCACAGCATCACATATAAATAAAATGAAGGTATTGTGTCCAACTACAACTAAAAACTGAATATTAAAAAAAAAACTTAAGGAGAAATAAGGCCTTTCAGGTGGAAGGAATAAAATATAAACTGTGAAATAGGTATGACACCAAGTAATCTACTCTAAAAACAAGATGTGACATATAGAGCAGAGGGAGGCAGGTTTTTTGTGAGTGACAGGGAATAAACTTCATATGTCATACAAAAGGGCTGTTTATTCTGTTGGCTACTGAAAGCAGCATAAGTAACTTTGTTTTAGAATGGTAAACTCTAATTGCAAATGTCTTAGATTAAAAAACTGAACGTAAACAAGAGGCAAGAAACTTATAAAAGGGGCGAAAAAACATTTGAATTCAGTGACTAAATAGTGGGCAGAAACCAGTATAAATCATACAAATCTACTATAATCCTATATTATCAAAATTTTCTTTCTTTTTAGTTATTTCTTATTTGTGGTACTGGGTATAAAATCCAGGGCCTCACGTGTGCTAGGCAAGTGTTCTATCTTTATTTTATCCCCAGGGGCTAGAGCTCCAGACTCCCAAAATCTAAATATTTTAAAGCCTCAGCTCAATATGAATAATTGTTGACACTTTCTAAATAATTAATCTTTACAAATATTCATTCATTCATTCATTCATTCATTCATTCAACAAATCTTTACTGAACAACTGTTTATGTGTCAAGCACTATTTTAGAAGCGGGAGTACAACAGTAATCTTTCTCTTTCCAATCATCTGCACTATTAACAGTTTCTATAGCCTCTACCTTTTAAGGCATTTCTAAAATTAGGAATAGTGGTGTTAGAATTTAACACAGATATAAAATTTAGATAAACTAATATTATTATACTAATAAACTGTGTGATCAAAGTAGAAAACTACAAATACATAAAAGTCAAATATATAAAATGTGAGATGGTAAGAAAAGGAAGGTCAAGGACAATTTACTTATGAATCCAATAAAACCCTACAATAAAAAGTTGGGTATTAGATACAAATCTGGAAGAGGCTCTAGAGCCAAAAAGAAAAGGATAAGAAACAGAAGTGTCTTTATTGGAAGGAATTCCATCTATGAAAGGTCCTGAAAATACTGAAAGGGATAGGTTTCACACAAAATCCATACCTGAAGAAAATAAATAAAAACCAAGTATCATACTGCCTTCATACCACTAATCACAATAATAGAGCCTTTCAAATTATCTTGTATGCATTTTTTAAATTAGTGCATTATAGCTATACATAATACAAATGTGGAATATACTTTGCTTCACTTAGGTTTCCAGTACTTCCCATTTTTCTCCCCTCCTCCATCYATCCCCCTGTTCCCTTTCTCTACTGGCATTCCTTCCATTAATTCAGTTTTTTTAAATTAGTGTTTTATAGAAATACATAAAACTATGGTATATTCATACATATGCATAGCATAATTTGGACAATTTCATTCTACAATTCCTTTCATCTTCTTTCCCTCCCCACTTCCCTTCAATCCCCTTCCTCTGCTCCAGTGAACTCTCTCCTATTTTCATAAGATTCCTCACTTCCACCCACCTCCCCACCTTATTTTGGTCTAGCTTCTGCATGAGAGAAAACATTTGATGATGAAATTTCTGAATCTCATTTTATTTAGCATATTCTCCATTTCCATTCATTTACCAGCATGTGTTGATGGACACCTGGGTTGGTTCCTTAACTTGACTATTCTGAGAYACACTGCTATAAACAAACGATGTACCTATCTCTCTATAGCATGCTGATTTTAGTTCTTTGGATATATACTGATGAATGGGATAGATGGGTCATATAGGGGTTCTATTCCTATTTTTTGAGGCATCTCCACACTGCTTTCTGGAGTGGTTGTATGAATTTATACAACAATGTTCATGAATGTACCTATTCTCCCCACATCTTCACCAGTATTTATTATAATTTGTATTCTTTTTTTTAGGCCAATTTAAGTTTATTTTTAATTTGTTCTTTTTAGTTATACGTGACAATAGAATTTATTTTTATATAGTTACACAAGCATAGAATATATCTTATTCTAAATAGGATGTATACAATGTTCAGATTCACTGTGGTGTATTCACATATGAACATAGGAAAGTTATGTCAGATTCATTTCACTGTCTTCTCTATTCCTATCTACCCTCCTTCTCTTCATTCCCCTTTATCTAATCCAATGAACTTCATTCATTCTTTCCCTACCAACCCACCACATTGTGGTTAGCACCCATATATAACAGAGACCATTCAAACTTTGATTTTTTGAGATTGTCTTATTTCATTTAGCATGATAGTATCCAGATTCATCTACTTACTGGCAAATGCAATAATTTAATTCTTCTTTATGGCTGAGTAATATTCTTTTTTWAAAATTTTTTTATTTATTTTAATTTTTTTWATTTTTATTGTTGGTAGTTCAAAACATTACACAGTTCTTAATATATCATATTTCACAGTTTGATTCAAGTGGGTTATGAACTCCCATTTTTACCCCGTATACAGATTGCTGTATCACATCAGTTACACTTCCATTGATTTACATATTGCCATTTATACACAATGGAGTATTACTCTGCATTAAGAAACAACAAAATCATAGAATTTGGAGGGAAATGGATGGCATTAGAGCAGATTATGCTAAGTGAAGCTAGCCAATCCTTAAAAAACAAATGCCAAATGACTTCATTGATATAACGGGAGTAACTAAGGACAGGGTAGGGACGAAGAGCTAGAGAAGAAGATTAACATTAAACAGGGATGAGAGGTGGGAGGGAAAGGGAGAGAGAAGGGAAACTGCATGAAAATGGAAGTTGATCCTCAGGGTTATACAAAATTATAATTTGTATTCTTGATGATTGCGATTTTGACTGGAGATAAAATCTTGGTGTAGGTTTGATTTGCATTTCTCTGATTACTAGTTATGTTGAATATTTTTCATGTATTTGTTGGCCATTTTATTTCTTTGAGAAGTATCTGTTTATTTTGTCCATTACTAACTGGATTATTTGGTTTTGTGGTATTAAGTTTTTAAAATTCTTTATATATTCTGGACATTAATCCCTTAATGGAGGAGCAGCTGGCAAAGATCTCCCATTCTGTGGGCTCATTTCCTCTGTGGTACAGAAGCTTTTTAATTTGATACTGGCCCACTTTTGATTCTCAGTTTTACTTCTCGTACTGTAGGGGTTTTGTTAAGGAAGTCAGTGCCTGCACCAATATGTGACAGTGTTGAGCTGACATTTTATAGTAGTGGCAAAATTTTCTATTATCATCATGATTCATTTTGGGTAGATCATATGTGTCTGGTAATTTTTCAATGTCTTCTTGATTTTTTCAGCTTACTGGAGTATACATTTTCAAAATAAACTAATGACCCTCTGGATTTCTTTCAGAAATGTGGTAATATCTCCTATTTCAACTATAATTTTTCTGATTTGGGTCTTCTCTCTTTTGGTTAGTTTGGCTAAGGGTTTATCTATCAATTTTGTTTATCTTTTTGAAGAACCAACTCTTGGTTACATCAATTTCAATAATTTCAACTTTGATCTTATTTCTTCTCTTCTATTGATTTTGGAAATAGTTTATTGTTCTTTGGAAATAGTTTATTGTTCTAGGGCCTTGGGTATAACATCAGATTATTAAATGGTTCTGTTTTTTTTTTTCTGGTTCTATTTTTTTTTCTACTTTGTTATATATGACAGCAGAATGCATTACATATTCCTATTACACATACTGAGCACAATTTTTCATATCTCTGTTGTATACAAAGTATTCACACCATTTGTGTCTTCATACATGTCATGATATCCATCTCATTTAATCATCTTTTTTACCCCCATGCCCCCTTCCCCTTTCAACCCTTTTCCCTTTCTAGAGTTCGTATAATCCTCCCATACTCCCTCTCTCAATTTCATTATGAATCAGCCTCCATACATCAGAGAAAACATTTGGCATTTGGTTTTTGGAGATTGGCTAACTTCACTAAGCATTATATTCTCCAGCTCCATCCATTTAACAGACACCTCTCAGAAAATGATATACAATCAATCAACAAATATATGAAAAAATGTTCAACATCTCTAGCAATTAGAGAAATGCAAATCAAAACTACTCTTTAAGATTACATCTCACTCCAGCCAGAATGGCAGCTATTAAGAACAAAAACAATAATAAATGTTGGTGAGGATGTGAGGGAAGAGACAYACTCATACCTTGCTGGTAGGACTGCAAATTGTTGAAGCCAGTATGGTAAGCAGTATGGCAGTTCCTTGGAAAGCTAGGAGTGGAACCACCACTTGACCCAGCTATCCCTCTCCCTAGTCTATACCCAAATGACTTTAAAACAACGTAATACAGGGACACAGACACATCAATGTTTATAGCAGCACAATTCACAATAGCTAAACTGTGGAACCAACCTAGATGCCCTTCAGTAGATGAATGGATAAAGAAAATGTGATACACACACA